TCTAATTTTTCTATTCCATGCGACCAAATTGCGAAGTAGTCATCCAAATATCACATAATTACTGTTGGCTTCTGGGGTGACATTTTGAAAATTTTTTCAAACAGAATTGGCCGACATAGGTAAGTGGTGAGCCCATAGTTAGACCAAATATTTGCTCATAGATGAGGACATTGAACGTGAAATAGGTCGCTCTTATTGTTAGGTTGATTAATCGGATTAGAATCACTCTACGTATTCGATCTGTCTTCAGGATACCATCTTATCTTTCCAAGATTTCTAGTAGTGCTGTGAGTGATCCTTCTCCTGTAAAGCTAGTGTACATGGATTGTACACAAAAGGTCACCAAACGTGCGTTTCCTTCCAACCTGAGCGTTAGATTCTTTGGCAAAATTCGTATGATTTCTTCACTTTATTCGATAATCTGTCATTCACACTCTCCAAGTCAAGGCAGATAAATTTCGCCAATTTATGTGTCGGTCGATGCTTGTTGTTGATCATCAGTCTCAATTGTTATCCTTATTTGTGTACCTTCAGCAAACCATATGCTACTTATGCTTTTGCCTCCTTTCGTATGAGTGAACTCATTGTCCATTTGTCGATTTCTCCGTTTCTATTCATTTACTTCAGCATTCCTTGCAGTGCCCCTTTGATTGTATGTATTGGGTCTCTTGTTTTTAGTCGATACGTTGTAGTGTTCCGAGAATATTCTCCATTTTCTCTGTATATTCCTTCCTGTCTATCACCACTGTGGCACTTCCGATGTCTGCTTGTAGGGTTATTTGATCGTTTATGTTCAATTCTCCATATATCTTGGTTATATTGCCTCTTTGTGTGGGTTCTTAAAGTGCCAATATTATTAGGATGATTTCCATTATCAGCTCTCTTTTTAATTTTTCAGGTAGCTTTTCAGAGGTATTTATCACCACTAAAATGTCCTTGATTGCTTTCCTTTAATTCTGAGGTGCAAAATTTAGTCCCTTCTAGAGGATATTTATGGTTTCCAGGTCAATAAGGACGGAAGACAAAATTCATTCCTATATCTTCGTTTCTTGTCTGGACCTCGAGGCCCGCCAGCCTAGAGGCATTTTCATTTTTTCCTGATGGTTGGATCTTGGGCTGCTTATATATTCCATATATTTATTCAGCTTCACCTGGTGCCTTTTTTGATTTAATCTGAAATCCTTTTCGCCCTTTTGTCTGTAATCTTCTGTAATTTCAGGAAATCCTCCGGTGTGAGAATGATACAAATCATGCCTGAGTCTAGATTTAATATCTAAAAACTTAAATAATTTACCCCTGTCGCTTTTATATGTCTCATCTAATTTTTGCAAAGAAGCTTAATTTAATACTGAATGGACTTTATCGGAATCATAATTTCTCAACATATTGCAAAATCTAAAAGGGATGTCAACTTGAGAGACATAGGACCCTAAAGGATAAGACACAATGAAGGTGGGGATAAGGGAGAGGATAATTTAATCACGGATTTGAGTCTTGGGGAGAGGAAGATCTCCAAGCACTAACATGTGCATCGCTATGGGCATGGACATTATCTGCTATAAATCCTCGAATATAACGTAATCGAGGACAGAAATGGAAGGATCTTAGGCAACCAAACAGTGATTTTGATGTTTAGTAGCGGCTAATTGACAAGTGGGTAGGAAAAAAATGGGGGGCAGAATGTAGGTCAGGAGCCTTGTAAACGACCTCTTGCACAGGTGGTGGAGATGATTAAGCTCCGCTAAACCCGCTTGTGACGCCACACTCTTAGGCGACATTGGAGGAACCACATCACAGAATTGTGTGAATAAGTGGAGGTGCTATATGAAATGGGGTTGAGAGAAAGAGGTGCGCCATTAAAAGGTAGAATAAAAATTAGAGAGTGATGCCACAACGGTTGAACAGAAAATTAGTCAAAGGGATTGCCTTAACTTGACAATTTGATCAGTTGTAAATCTGTACTTACGATGGCGCC